ATGGATCTAGAAAAAATCATCCTGAGTAAGGTAACCCAGACTCAGAAAGACAAATATGGTAAGTACTCACTCATGGGAGGATACTAGATATGGAAAAAGGATGACTGGACTGCTACGCACATCACCAGTGAGGCTACCTTTAAAACAGGACCTCAATAAAGACACAGAGATCACCCAATGATGGAGAAATGGATTAGTCTGCATGAACATTCTGGACATGAGTGGGAGCAATGAACAGTGAGGGTCGAGGGAAAGAGAGCAGGAGATGCCAGCTGAATCAAGAAAAGAGAGGGAGAACAAGGAATAGGAGACCATGGTAAATGAAGACCACATGAGAAAAGGAAGAAACAAAGTGGTAAAGAGGCCCACAGAAATCCACAAAGATACCCCCACAAAAGACTGCTGGCAATGGTCGAGAGACAGCCGGGACTGACCTACTCAGGTGATGGGACGGCCAAACACCCTTATAGTTGTGCCAGAAACCCCACCCAAGGATTGAGGAATCTGGATGCAGACATCCACAGCTAGGCCCTGGGTAGAGCACTGGGAGTCTAATTAGTGAGAATGAGGAGGGTTTATATGAGTGAGAATTGTTGAAACCAAGTTTGGATAAAGCACAGGGACAAAAAGCCAAATGAATGGAAACACATGAACTATGAACCAAAGGCTGAGGGGCCCCCATCTGGATCAGGACCTCTGAATAGGTGAGATAGTCAATTGGCTTGATCTGTTTGGGAGGCACCTAGGTAGTGGTACCTGGTCCTGGGCTCTTTGCATTAGTTGGCTGTTTGTAACCTGGGACTTATGCAGGGATACTTGGTTCAATCTGGGAGGAGGGGACTGGACCTGCCTGGACTGAGTCTATCAGGTTGATCTCAGTCTTCGGGGGAGATCTTGATCTGGAAGAGGTGGGAATGGGGAGTGTGCTGGGGGGAACGGAAGGGGAGCAGGAAGGGGGAGAACAAGGGAATCTGTGGCTGTTATGTAGAACTGAATAGTATTTTACAATAAAAAAGAAATGCTCTTTTGTTTGCAATAGATGGTAATTAACACAGACACTCACAACTGCACAATGTGTGCTCATTGAGAGACTTGGAAGACTCATTCCAAATCTGAATGTTTTCATAAATGCCTTCTACCCATGGCTCTGAATTCTAAGAAGAACAGGAGATGGATCAATATTAGGAACAAGAAATGTAGGATGATTTCAAGGAAACAGAGAATTCCAGACCCAAGAGGGTTTGTACATGTGTACACACATAGAAACCAGACAAATTTCCAGCACAGTAAAAGGGAGGTGGACACAAGTTCTAACTCCTAACCAAGAAGCTATGAGCAATTGCTATCTTTTATGAAAGGGAAAGTCAGTTTTCTCCAACGAAGTATCACTGCAGGTATCAACAATATTGTAGTGTAGCCCTCATACACAAATGTTTAGTTAATGGGGTGTGGTGGAGGCTTTTATTTAATTTTGGATTTTGGTTTTTTGTTTGTATTTTTATTTGTGCTTATCTTTTTATAAAACGGGGATAAAATTGAATGGGTAGGAAAGATGGTATGATTTGGAATGTGTTGGGGTATGGTAAAAATTATGATCCAATATATTACGTGAAAAAATTAAATAAAATATATGAAAAGAAATTTTAAAGTATAAAAGTGTCAGAAGAAAAAGATGATCTGTGTAAAACTATGCTATATTGAAAATTGGGCAGTGTCTCTGACAAAAAAGTTCACAAAAGAAGAAATTAAAATGTCTAAGAAATATCTTTTAAATTGGTAAACATTTTTAAAATTAAGAAAATGAAAATTAAAACTACTTTGAGAGATTTCATCTTACTCCAGTGAGAATGGATATTATCAAGAAAACAACCACCAACAAATTCTGGTGAGAATAAATGATGGGGAAGGTGTAGGGAAAGGGGAAACCTTCATTCATTCTTAGTAAGAATGTAAACTCTGAAAATCAATGTGGTAAATTGATCACATGGCCCAGATACACTACTCCTTGGCATATATCAAAAGAACTTGATATCCTAACCACAATTTCTTCCTTAGCCAAGTTCATTACTTCTCTATTCACAATAGCTAAGAAATGAAAACTACTTAAATCTCCTTCAACAACTGAAGAACAAATGAAAATGTGATACATGCATACAATTCTACTCAGCTGTGGAGAAAAATGAAGTCATGAAATTTTTCAGATAACTGGGTGAAACTAAAAAGTATTATAATGAGAGAGGTAACCCAGACATGAAATACAAATGCTAAATGTTCCTCCTTCTTTGTGCTTCCTGTCTACGCATTTGTGGATATGCATTCATAACCTGGAGTAACTACAGAACTAAGAAATAAAAACTGGAGCAATTAATGAAAAATCTCGAGATACTGGAATAGCATGCAGGTGCTACAAAGGGAGAAAGAGAAGAAATTTGAAGCTTTAAATAATATGGGTATAGAGAGAATACAGAGAGACAGAGAGGAAGGAGCTATAAATACTACCAAGGATGTTTGGAGAGACACAAGGAAGTTTATTATTTCATATTTATCTAAAATAATATATAATATGCCTGTATTAACATGTATTTTAAAGACATTATGCAATTTATAATGATAATACTCCCTCCAAGTGCCATGGACTATAACGAAAACCCCAGTATCATGCATAAGAAATCACCTCTCAAGTTGTTCAGGGCACTCCAAGTGACCTTCAAAACAATACCAAGTATTATTGCCCTTGATTGATTGGCACACAGAACTTGGATTACAACTCTGTTGCCGAAGTCACAATACACTTCAGACACAGATATTAGAGGAATTAAACTGAAATTGACCTGGAAGCTCTTCTGTGAGAAGTGGCTTTCATGAAAGCTGCCAAGAAAGAAGAGCAATCATTAGGCTTACCTAGGTGTGATATCTGTGAACCACAGCAATAATGCAACTGGCAAGATATCCATGATGATGCAATAGTGGAACTTTCATCTTGGAGGTTTCAAGGGTTGTCTAATTGAACTTAAGGCACACTCAACAAGTGGGAAGCCATGTCTGGCACTGTACACGTAGACAACCTCTTGAGCCTGGAAATGGCATAGATCTAAGAGGTGAACCTGCTACTATAAGTATCAGAATCCAGTATACTTTCTAGCTGTTTTCTTAATACCTATCTCTTACACACAGATAAATATAATTCCCACCCTCATCAAAGAAGCTTCTTTTTGCAACATATGGAGACTATTATAAAGTCCCACAACTGGCCAAAATGCAGAGAATAATTGACTGAAAGGTGCCCAACCACAACTGATACATCTGCATTGAGTTCATTTAACTGAAAGGTTGGAAAAAACATGGAAGAGGCGACAGAAATCCCCCAGCAGCTAAGGATCCTAATTGATGGTACATATACCCTAGACATGACAGGAAAATACACCTATGAACTCTCAATAGTATATGTAGTGACATGTGCTATCATAATCACACCAGTTGGTATAGAAATAAGGGCAGGGGAAATTCTACATGGTCTTAACTCTAGGTGAGGTCAATGGCTGCTGAAAGAGAATCATCTGCCTCAGTAGGGAAATCTCATATTGGTTTTCCAATCACAAGTGCTCCACTCAGAGTACATTCACATACAAACAGAATGGATTTGACTCAGTAGGTTATATGTACATGTGATCATATACATATAAATAATATAAATATACATATACATAAACTGCAAAGTAAAGAAGAAATCATAAAAACAGGAAGGGAATGAGGCACTGGAGGGGGAGAGTGAAGGTAGGAGCCATATAGCACAACTAAGGACTTGAGTTTCTCAAAAATAACCACTACTTAAAAAAAAGACTTTCATGTGGTAACATTTTATATGACCTCTGTAACTTTTATGCACATTTGAACCAATTCTGAAAGCTGAATTGTATTAGAAAACATTTTAAATTAAACCCCATTTTTATGTCCTAGTACTTGTTATTGAGTTTCTGGTTTGGGATCTTGAATATTGCAGAATTATCTCTGAATGTGTTTATAATTGCTTAACACAACAACCTTTGACTGGTTACTACATCATTTCTTCCTGGAAGTAGCTGGATTTACAAGGAACTGTGGAGTGTTAATAATTTCTTTGCCTACACTATAAATATTACCTCTCAACACTTGCCAGAAGCTGAAAAGGTGGCTAAAACTGTATCCTAACAGCACCCACAAAGAGCTCATTGCCATGTCAGACTACCTTTGGTTTGAAGGAATACCTTTCCCTATTATAAAGTATGAAAAAGAAATAATTGAAAAATCTTGTGATAAGTTTGTGTTCAGAGATGAAGACATAGTCATCCTGACTTACCCTAAATCAGGTAAGAACTGTTAGAGTGCTCTTGAAGTGTATGAGGAAGGATAAGGCTTTGATCCTCATTCATTTGGGTGATGAGTGGCATGCTCTGTATATCTGATGTTTAAAATTTTTGTGGGCATGGATTGCTGTTTGTGAGTGCATTTCACTCAGAGAAAGAACACCAGCCTGGACTGTGTGGCAAGAGGCTAATCTAGGCCATGCGAGCAATGTCAGTTGATCCTAAGGCAGACTCTGGGAGGGTTCTGTCTCTATGTGGAGGAGAGTAGAAAGGAAAAATGAGGATAATAAACAGAAGAAACAGCACCAACGTAAAAGTCATAGATGTAAGAATATGTGGAGGAGAGGACAATGTCAGGTAGAAGAATTACCATGGACCTTGTCCAAGGGGTGAAAACAGTCTCAAAACTCAAAGAACCAAAAAGAAGCAGTGTGTGATTTGAGGAAGGTTGTTTTCTCGGTGGCAGAAGCACTGAACACAGGTAAGTTTTAGGTTGCTGACACTGACAGTGAAAGAACATAGAAAAGCCAAGGGCAGTAGAATGCAGGAAGAAGATTCATACAATGACCCAGAGAAGAGAGCTAGAGAAATACCCAAGGACAAGTAAACATGTAAACATAAATACAAGTATGTGTGGAAAATAGACAGAAGGGGATTTATTCAGCTAAAGAGGAGCAGTACTCATACACATACTGCAGCATGGATGCATCTCAATTGCTTTGCACTAAAAGAAAGGAGCAAGTCTCAAGGACAGAGTCCACTATTACATATCTGTGCAGTATCTGGGAAAGTTGAACTCAAAGTACCAGAATGTAGAATGATGATGGTCCAGGACTTGAGGGGACTTTGAGGTGTAGTTAATTGAATATAGTCTCAGTTTCTCCATGTGAAGCACTGGCAAAGTGCTGCATGAATATTCTTTGTACTTAGAGCATTTGGACATTGTGAACACAACAGGACTGTGTGCTTAAAAACAGATACACTGTAAATTGTACAGGTGTACAATTTTCTTCTTGAGGCTTTTTAACAAGTACTGTTGAAATGAGTGACCATTACTTTTCCTTCTTCAGGAACTAACTGGATGAAGGAGATTGTCTGCTTGATTCAGACCAAGGGGGATCCCAGTTGGATCCAATCTGTGCCTATCTGGGACCGCTCACCCTGGATAGAGAGTCAAAGAGGATATCAACTATTAATCAATAAGGAAGGACCACGCCTCATCAGCTCCCACCTTCCCTTCCATTTTTTCCCCAAGTCTTTCTTCAGTTCCAAGGCCAAGGTCAGTGTCCAGTTGTTGAGAAATCTTTGTCCAAATGTTCTTTGAATTTCATCTACCTTGGTGGGCCCTGGAGCTCTTGATGAAATGCACTCAGATTGTGTAGGTTGTGGGTGGGAACATGAGATTCTCATGCACTAAGTGATGCAGATGTGTCTCTTCCTCAAACTACATCAGAGTACCAGAATGTCAAGTACCACACAGTGATTCTGGGCAGATATATGAAAGAATGTGAAATATCAACTAGAGCATTCAGGAACTACACATACTAGTCAAGCAGAGGGCAAACTCTAGGGTGGGGTGGACATTACTATTTTGCCATCATCAAAGTCAATTTGCTAATTGTGATTCTACATATATATATATATATATGTATATACATATATATATATGTATGTATGTATGTATGTATGTATGTATGTATGTATGTATGTATCGCATGAGCAGTGTGTAAATCACCCCAGGCAGGGTTGCTCATAGAAGAAGCAGCCTGACCAGGCATCAGTACTCTAATCAAGGAAATTGTTCAGCAGTTATGGCTCAGTTGTACCCACTGTGTGTTATTGTATCTAGCTTTCCATTGAGGTCAGTAGCCACAGGAATCCCCCACACCAATGATAGAGGATTTCCAGAGGGGAACAGAGATATGCAGGTTCTGACCTATCATAGTTTCTAGTTTGTAAAAAAGCATTTGGGAGGTTTCTGAACCATGGAACTTAAAATATGTTATACTTAAAATACAAATACAAATGTAGAACTATTATCACTCTTGATAATATCACAATGAAGTTTACTCTTTTCTCTCTTTCAAATTTGGAGTCTTTTTTTCATTAATTGTTGTTACATTAGTATATGTATCTACTTATTTCTCAATATTTAAATACAATCTGCTCAATCTATAAAACGTTACTTTTATGTATGTTTTAGGCCTGAGCATTTGGAATTGCATAACCAGTTGTTATGCTTTTCCCAGGTAAAGTCTGTTTCTCCAACTCTCTGCATTTCTGAGTTGCCTATAAGTCTTTGTGTTCACTATTGTACAATGACACTCTAGCTTTGAGATCTGCACAATGATTCTTGAAAGTTACATTTGGTAGTTACAGTTGTGGACAAAAATTAGGTTTTCATATTGCAGATATATTTAGCACAGTACTCATCTCTGTGTATATAAGATGTTCTTTCACAATGGATGGATGGTTTTTCACACTGTAAGACATTGATCTTTATAAATATAGGATCAGTCTTGGATTTTTGTTATAGTTGTTTTTTTTAACGATTTAGTGACCTGAGTTATTGTGCAGTTACATATTTGTAAATGAAATAAATTTATAAAAGAGAATTTTCACTATAGATATTTGCACTTATGTAAAGTTTTATCCAAATAAAAATAAAGTTTTTAGAAACCTCGTGGAGATTTAATTGACATTTCATATAATTTGTGCAAGTTAAAAGGTTTGGAATGACTATTTTAAAGTTCATGTACATGTTTTTCTATTTAAGATAATCTATGTCATCAGAAATCCCAGAGATGTTCTTGTGTCTGGTTATTTTTTCTGGAGAAAGACAAAATATGTTAAGATTCCAGAGTCACTGACAACTTATTTTGAATGGTTCCTCAAAGGAAATGGTGAGTGTCCTATTAAATATAGGACTTGGGGGAGGCTCAGAGACATTTTAATGACAAGGTAAGATATAGTTCAGGTTGATCTTGAATTCTATATAGCCAGGGACAATGTTGAAGCTCTACTCCTCAGGCATCCACTTCTTGAGTTCTAGGACTAAAGCACCTACTACCATGTTCCATCAATTTAATGCTGGCACTCACTCTCATGATCATGTATTTTATTTAACTTGGTTACATCCCTAGCCTTTAGTATATTCTGTAGTCTTCACTTGGCTACATCTTATCTCTCTGTATTCAACCAATATGTGGTTCCAAGTCTCATCACCATTTTGAACCTAATTGTGAAGTCTTCCTGTTTTCACACACCACTACACAACAGACACAGACACAACTTGCCCATAACACATCATCCCAACAAAGTTTGCAGTGTCTGGTCTTTCCAGTACTACGTTAGGTGTTATAATTTGTGGTATTGAATAAGAAATGCCACAAATAGACCTTGACATTTAAACACCTGTTCCCTACTTGATGGCACTGTTTCAGAAGATTCAAGAGGCACAACCTTGCAGGAGGTACATCAATGAGTGTGGGCTTGGATAGTTTCTAAATAATTATTTAATTAAATTAATTCATGTATTCTGTATCCTGACCAGTTTCCCCTCCCTCCTTTCCTCCAATCCCCTTCACTCACCACTTTCCCCACCCCACACCCCAATCAACTCCTCCTCTGTTTCTGTTTAGAAAGCGGCAAGCCTCAGCATGGGTGTCAACAAAGCATGGCATATCAAGTTCAGGTAGAGCTAAACTCCTTGCATTTAGGCTGGACAAGATAAACCACTATGAGGAATAGGTTCCTAAAAGTCAGCCAAAGAAATAGGGATCAGCCCTGCTTTTCTCACTAGGAGTCCCACAAGCAGATCAAGCTACACAAGAGTCACACATATGTAGAGGCCCTAGGTTGGTTCCATGCACCTCCCTAGCTGTGAGTCCAGAGACTGTGAGCTCCTATGAGCCCATGTCATTTGTTTCTGTGGGTACCTTTGTGATGACCTTGAGCCATCTGGCTCATCCAATCTTTCCTCTGTCTCTTCAACAGGATTTCCTGAGCTAGGCCCAGTGTGTCTCTCTATCTGGTTTCTTCAGTCACTGGAGGAAGGCTCTCTGATGACAATGTGGGTAGTTACCAACTTGATTACAGGAGATTGCCAGTTCAGACTACCTACCCACTATTGCTAATAGTCTTAGCTTGAGTCATCCTTGTAGATTCATGGGAGTTTCTCTTATCAGGTTTCTACTTGACCAAAAATGCCCACCATCAAGATGTTTCTTTCATTACTCTCCCACTCCAACCATGCCCCCAACCCAATCTATCATGTTCCCATCCCAGTCAACCCAGGAGATCTCTTCTATTTCCCCTTCCCAGGGACATCCGTACATCACCATACACTTTGGGCTCTCCTTGTTACCTAGTCTTTATGGAGCTGTGGATTGTAGCATGGTTATCATTCACTTTACAGCTAATATTCACTCTTGAGTGAGTACATACCATGTCTGTTTTTCTGTGTCTGGGATACCTTACTCAGGATGATTTTTTTTTCTGGTTTTTTTTCTGGCTGAGGAGCCCCTAGGTTGATTCAATGTTCTGGCTAGTGTGAAAAACCCTGTCATGAACATAGTTAAACAACTGTTCTCATGGAAAGATTGAGTATCCTTTGGGTATATGCCCAAGAATTAGGTATCGCTGGGTCTTGAGGTAGATTGATTCTCAGTTTTCTGAGAAAACTCCATATTGATTTCGATAGTGGCTGTACAAGTTTTCACTAACACTAGCACTGGAGGAGTGTTCCCCTAGATCCACATCAAAAGGTTAAGTACTTAAGTCACTTCCAGTTGCTTGTCTCTGATTCATGAATGTAGTTGAGGAGATGACATCACAGCTTCCTGCTGCTATAGCACTTCCTGCCACTTGTTACCATTGCCTCCTTTCTCCCATCATTTACTCTTATCCCTCTAGAATCATAAACCAAAATTAAGCTCTTTCTGCTTACTTAAGTTGCCTTTGTTCATGATGTTTTACCACAGTGGCAGAAAAATAACAAAAGTGCATGTTCCTACCACACAACTCAATTGTGATTTCTCTTTGTCTTTTTTCATTGGCTTCCCATATATTATCCTGACTGTTCACTGTTTTGTTAAGACATATCTTAACAAATATTATAAATCCTATTTTCTTTATTGTCACAAAAGTATTTTCATAGGCATGGATTCTGAACACTTTGCATATAGTTTAACTTTCATTGAGTTATAATAATTATATATAATAACAAGTTTCATTATGACATTTTCATACATGTGTGCAGGTAATTTTGATCAAATTAATGGCCCACTATCCTCTCTTCCACTGTTTCCACTTTTGCTGATCTTGTTCCTCTTTCTAAGTAACTCTGCTTTCTACTTCCATGTCCCTTTTCTTCATGTGTGTGTTTGTGACCCAGTGAGGTCCATTGGGGTTGCTTACTGGAGCACAGAAAAGCAATCATTTATAGGAACATGGGTTTCTCACCAGTAACTCCTATACTGAAAAAAAATACCTCTCCCTCCACCAGCTACCAAAAACTGCCCTTAGACTGTGGAAGGAAAGGGATGTCATGAGCCCTGTCCTCTAACTACACTTGACTGCTCATAAAGCCACAGGAAAGTGGTTAATACTTGGGAGTACTTTCTCTCCACTTGATAGAGTATTATAGGTCCCAGTCTTATGAAGGTCTTCACAATATTCATGGGATGGATTCAAGTGAATCAATAGTTCAAGACCATCCTTGGCTACATACTAAGACAGAGGCAGGCTTGTTGATATATTCTTTTTAATACCTGCTTCCAAATAAACTCTTATCTTTTAAAATGACTTCCAAGACAGAACTACTGTTAATTTCTAGCTACATATGTATCATTAGCTTATTTTTAGTGCTCTCCCTAAAATGGTTTTGGCTTTTTTGTTTGTTTTCAGACAGGATCTGTTGTATCCCAGATTGGCCACAAATTCTCTGTGTACTGGAATATGACATTGAACCTCTGGTCTTCTCTTGTATTGATATCCCGAGTTTTAGTATTGCAGGTGTATGCCATATTTGACTTGGCTTTTAGGTTTTCTTTGAATGTGAATAGGTATGTGTGTTTACAATAGTGTGGCTATAAATGTGTGAATGTGGCAGTTCTTGTGCCAAAACTTGAATGTGGCAGGCAAGCAACAACATCAGGTGTTGAGCCTTAATTTCTACCCTGTTTGAGAAAAAAAAAATCTTTCTTTTTATTCATCACTGCTTTTGCCATCTTAGTTGGTCCCAATCTTCTGGCCATTCTCCTGTCTCCACCTTCCATGTCATTGAAGGAGCACTAGGGTAACAAAAAGAAACTGAATTATCTTTGAATGGTTCCTGTGGATTCAAACTCAGGTCCTCACACATGCATGGCAAATGCTTTCCTCTGAGTCATCACCTGAACACAGCTTTCAATCTCTTTAAGTGGCCTAATTCTGTGTTGTATTATGAAGTTAATTTCTCTCTACTACTTCTCTGTAGATCATTTACCCCCAGCTTTCAATCAAATCTTAGATTCCTTGAATTCATGCATCCTACTGCTCTGACCCTTGCTTAACTCTTAACTTCACTCCTCACTTGATTTAGTTAGTTCTTCAGATAATCATGAACAATGCAGATGTGCAATGGCAGATAAGAAATGCAGAGAGAGGGACAATGAAGGAACAAATGGCTAAATCAGGAACAATGAAGACACTGTGATTGTTGAGAAAACATTACAATAGCCCTAGGAATGTAAATGAAGTTTTTGGGTTTGTATCAGGGTCCTGTGCTGTTGTTCCCCTGGGGGATGGGGACAAGTAGGCACAGAGTTAGTGATATAGCCTCTGGGAGATTGTAAAAAAAGAAGCCCAGTTTATTCATAAAGAGGCAAGTTTTACATACCCTCCACCCCAGCCTGGGAGAAGGTCAGAGCAATATGCATCTGCTGCTGTGACTTGGCTGCCTCTCATTGGTCCAGGTGATCTCCAGATCATGTCTCAGCTGTTTTTGCTAAGGCCCTTAAGCAGACCAGGTTGGCTTTTAGAAAGTACTTTTTTTTTACTGATTTGGGCCCTTTTTTCCCTCAAGCCTGTTAGGAATGAGTCATCCCACAGCGGTGAAGGTGGAATTCTATGCCTGCAAGGTCTCTAGTAGTCTGTGTTTAGGACACCAGGGTACTGAAGAGTCACTATTGAGACCTGGTAGAAGCTTAGAGGTGGATGTTTGGGTGAGGAGATCTCCCTTAGAAAGAATTAAGATAGTTCTTTGGACATGATAGCAATATAAAGTCCAACTGTAGCCATGTCAAGACCTCTTTGGCTTACTGTATTGGTATGATGGCTTTTCCCCAAAACATGCCTCCATCACTAAAGCCCATCAGAAGCATGTCTCCATGAGACATCAGGGGTAACTCTGTAAGATGATGAGTTTACTAATGAACTTGATTTAATCAGCTCATTATCTGTGTGTATGTGTCCAATGTTACCTTGTATATTTTAAATACTAGTTTCATTTTTCTTGGTAAAGCAGTCTGCCATTTGCAGAAAGGTGAAGAATATCAGGAAGACATGGCTTTCATTCTTTATCAGCAATGCTTTCCACTTCCATTCCCACAGTGGCATATGGATCATGGTTTGAGCACACCCGTGCCTGGCTATCCATGAGAGAAAGAGACAACTTCCTGCTATTGAGCTATGAAGACATAAAAAAGGTAATTGTCATTCTTACAAAATCACAGAACCTCTCACAAACTCACCCAATGTAGCACCCCATATTTCTCAGTATCCCCATGTCAGTTTTAGATTCATAAAGTGTCAATAAAAGTGAAATTATGTCCTAGGTTATTTATTGACATGCACCTGAAATTTTCTCTGCAGTTGCCTTATCCATCACCCACATCTTTACCTTATCAACATTGGAGTAGGTTGGGGTAGCTCACACTCGGGCTATAGGTTTTGTAATTCTGTCTATGCAACACATTTGATAACCTTATAACCCAATAATCTTTGGGGAATAGGTAAAGCACTTTCATTCCACTGTTGTGCCCAAATGTTTGTCATCCCCCCTTGATGACAAGAAGAGGGAGAAAGCAGGAAATCCATCTGTGAATCCTGGGAGAGCACAAGAGCTGAAGTCACATGAATTGAGTGATACACACATCTGACCAGGAATGTACAAGATGCACCAGTCAGGGATGATTGTGTCCAGTACTCTGCAGTATAGGGGGTTCTGCATGGTAGGCTAGAATACACTGGAGATTTCAAAACTCTTAGTAGAGAATATCTAAAATGTTTCAACATTAAGTAATGGCATATGTCTAAATAGAATGATAGGCCATTTAAGATCTGATCCTTATAAGATCATTGCAGGTTTCATTTCATTGAAATGCCCAATAGACAGTTAGCAATATGTTCAAGTACTGTATGTGTGTCTAAAATATCTATTATTTTGAAAATTAAAAATATGTCTTGGCAAGTCATCACATGACTCTAAAACTACCATTGGGAGAGAGAGAGTCAGAGTCAGGGGTTCTAGGTTATCTTGTTTGTATGGTGGGTTTGAGGTCAACTTTGGCTAAAAGAGACATTGTTCAAAAGATCCTTAATTTAAATAATTTTAAGTTCATTTGTGTATTTTATTTTCATTTAGTTAAAAAAATTCTCCCTCTACTGATGGACACATAATACTGACACCAAGCATATAAGCCCAAAAATATTCATATTTGTTCAGCAACTCAAAAGCTTTAGTAGTTTGGAAGCTAACAGTGAAAGATAACCATCCTTTATATATCATAAATAAAAATATCAATCATACTTTTGAAGAACAAGAAAAAACTTGTGCAGTCTGTCAGAGAAAACACTTACCCATCCTTTGAATAGTTCAAAAAATAGTTAAGGAGGAAAAGAAGCAGTCTTACAGCCACTGTTGAGCTTTCAGAAGTAGATTCTGGTGATGATGAAGGTTATTGAAAGCTGTAACTTCTTGTTTTCATTTTTATTTCTCTTATAATTTTTTATAATATAAAACACATTTTAAATTTAAACATATTTTAATCATATTCTTTCTCTCCCAAAATTTCTTCCAAATTTTCTTCTCCTCCTTACCCACACAACCTTAAATTCCTTCTGAAATAAAAAAATCCAAATAAAACAAAATTCCCCTGAAAGAAAACAAAATAAAACAATAACCAAAAGAAAAAACACTGAACTGCAACGAAATACAACCAAATAAAAGCACACACGCATGAACACACACACACACACACACACACACACACACACACAGAAACAGAAATCAAACTCTGGAGTCCATTACATGTTGGACAACTGCTCCTTCACATAAAAACTTTCCTGGAGTGGTTGATATATCCAGTGTCATTTCATTGGAGGCAGTGGATTTTCCCTCTGACAGCAGGTATAAATGACAGTTCCATTGTTATCCTTTAACCTACTGGCTAGATTTTCATTCATTCATTTTTTAAAAATATAACAAAATAGCCGGGCAGTGGTGGCGCACGCCTTTAATCCCAGCACTCGGGAGGCAGAGCCAGGCGGATCGCTGTGAGTTCGAGGCCAGCCTGGGCTACCAAGTGAGCTCCAGGAAAGGCGCAAAACTATGCAGAGAAACCCTGTCTCAAAAAAAACCAAAAAAAAAAAATATAACAAAATAAAGTACAATCGGATGAAATAATATTATTACCTCAAAATTGGACAAGATAAACCAACAGAATGAAAACAGCACAAGAGAAGGCACAAGCAGAGACCCACATGCTCAAATATCAAGGAAGACCACAAAATCACTAAACTGTAGACCCTAACATATAAGCAGAGGATTGGTGCAGACTGGTGTGCCACTATGCATGCTGCTCCAGTCTGTGGGTTCATATGAGCTTTTCTTATGTTGATGTGGATGGTCATGTTTTCTTATTGTCCTCCCTCTTCTCTGGCTCTAACTCCCCTTTCCCTCTTCTGAAGAGTTGTCTATGCTCCAAAGTCAGAGATTTGGTGGAGACATACCACTTAGGGCTGATTGTCCAAAAGTATCTCAAACTCTGTGTTTGCTCTGGCTGTGGATCTCTATGTTTCTTCCCAACTGCTTTGGGAGAAATCTTCTCTGATGACAGCTGTACAATGCACTAATCTGAGCACAGCAGAACACCATGGAGTCACTTTGTCACTAATTTTTCAGGCCAAGATTATTGGGTTTTACCCTAGGTCCCCAGGCTATCTAGTGTCTGGTCAACAAAGCAGTGTCAGCTATGTGTTCCATCTTATAGAGTAGGCCATAAGTAAAATCAAGCACTTCTTGGCTACTCTCCTGAGCTTTGTGGCTTCATTGCCTTAGCATATCTTGCAGGTAAGACTATATAATTGGAAGTTTCCTGTCCCAACTACCTGGTCAAAAAAGACCAACTCAGAACCTGAATGTGATCTCTAATTTCACAGCTGATAGCTCTGGCTTGTTACTAGATAATTCTTACCTTTAAATTAACCCACTTCTATTCATCTATGTATTGTCAAGTGTCTCATGGCTTTTCGTGTCTTCTAACATGTCCTGCTTCCTGATCAGCTAGCTAGCAGCACTCCTGAATCTGTTCTCCTTCTTCCCATCATTCTCAATTTGATTTTACTGCCTAACTTCCTGCACAGCTACTGGTCTGTCAGGTCTTTATTAACCAATATGAGTAATACATATTGATAGTGTAGAAGGGATGGTTACTGAGAATTCTCCCCCTTTTGTCTAATTAAAAAGAAAGGTTTTCACCTTTATATAGTAAAGCTACATACAACTAAAACAGTTATTAAATAAGAATTACAGTAATAGTATCTGATCCATTTATATTTGGCAAAATTGGAGAAAATACTAATTATCTATCTTATATTGGTTTGTCTAAAGTTTTGTATCTAATTTACTTTCTATTATAACTAAGGAAAATTATGATTATAACTATTTAGTCTTCAACTCCATCAAAGACCCCAGAAGGGTGAAAAGTTACCTAATGGCAGGGACATCAGGTTGCCTGGACAGTCACCCAAAGTTCCTCTGTAACACTGGGGCATCCTAAGGTGGTCTACCGGCTAAGCATAACTGACAGACTTTCCTGTTAAGCAGAGAATATTGAAGGACTGTTCTATTTCCTTAGGGGTTATTGGTCTATTTAAAATGTTTATCTGGTCCTGATTAAAATTTGGTATGTGCTACCTATCCAGAAAATTGTCATTTTCTTTCAGGTGGAGTAGTTTTTTGAAGTATAACCTGATGATTCTCTGGATTTCCTCATTGTTTGTTGTTAGGTCTCCCTTTTCATTTCTGGTTTTGTTAATTTGGACTCTCTCTCTCTGTCTGTCTCTCTCTGTCTCTCTCTGTCTCTCTGTCTCTCTCTCTCTCTGCCTTTTAGTTAATTTGATTAAGGGCTGGTCTATCTTGTTGATTTTCTTAAGGAATCAACTCTTTGTTTCCAGTTTTCATGAAGCTCACATCAAAGATTCCTGTTTGAGTTCCTAAGTTTTTCTTTTGCAGATTTCCTATAATTTGAGTTTTCTTGATTGATTTTATTTCTACTTTCAGGTTTCAATGGTTTATTCATTTATTTCCACTGTTTTTGTTTTCATAAATTTATGAGATTTACTCTATTCCTCTATCATTTCCATACATGCTATTTTAGGGTCAATTTCTTCTTCTGTAACTATGGTAGAATAATCAGGGCCTGTTCTAGTATGGTTTCTAAGCTCCTGTCTTGGATGTTATAGACTATGCTTTCAGGTTGGCATCTAGGCATCTAGGATTGAGAAAATTATAATTCTACATGCTGATATCTGGTCTTGCCTTTGTTGGGTTCATGCTTCCTTCCTTTTTTTTGTTGCTCTGTCTAGTACTTAGGAGAGTATACTGGCTGTGTGTTGTCTGGTAGGAAATTCTTCGGGGGTCCTGATAATTGGGGCCAAAGGAAGTTCCAGGTAAAATGTTTCCAGATATAGAAAGCTGAAATTTAGGAATGGGAATAGTCTAGGAGGTTGTCTTAATAATGTCCACAGGAGGGAAGATAGAAACATTTTTAACAGGAGCTCCTTAGTTTGTTACCTGAAAATGGGGCCACTGAGTGAGGTTAGGCCACAGCAGAAGGTTCAATATAAAGCTATGAATGAGACTGAGGAGTAGATTTGGAAAAATGGAAGAAGAGATGAAGAGCTGCGATTAGCCTATTTGCTTTCATGGTTAGAGTGGCCTGTAAGTGCTTAGGGAGTGCCTTCTGGATTCAGGATTCGCTATGACAAAAACAATAAGTATGGAGAAGGAACTTTGGAGAATAAGAATTGTGTTATCCATGTGAAACAATGGCATTTGGTGGAAGGAGACTGTAGCAGATGTTCTACACCGAGCTGGGAAGGAGACTAGGAGCCTGCACTTAAAGGAGCAAGTACAGATGTGAAGATGTGCATTTAGCCTAACTGTTTACATGCCCAGTTTGATCTATGGGTTCCCAGGGCATGCACGATGGAGTTCAGGTGTGGAGCAAATCAATGCATTGGTGTTGGGATATTAGGAGGGGAGATCCACTAGAGATGTGAGTGGCTGAGGCAGGTGTTCTGCTCCAGGGCTAGGGGTAACCCTGGGGTGGTTGGACTTAAAGGAATGAGGGGGAGGTGAAGATGTGTAGTTACTTTATTTCTTCATGACCAGAATGTTCTTTGGTTTCCCAATGAGGACCTCTTGGAGTTGGATGTTGGAATAGTACAATGAATTACAGGACTGAAGTTAGAAGATCTGTGGAATCCATTCTATGTTTGGGGGGGGGGGAGTTGCTAAAGATTTTCTGTGGCATAACTGGGCATGAGACTGGGGAACTGGATCTGGAGGAGCACAGTGAAAGGTAAAAATCTGTAGTCAGCCTACATGCTTCCCTGGCAAGAGTCAAAAAATATTTTTTAATGTAAAATATTAAGGAGCATCAAAAATAGGAAATTGGATTATCAAAAGGAATTGGATCTATTAATGATATCATCCAGGAACACAAAGTTTCTACATAAGTAGCAATATAAAAGACTCTTTTGTCTTTTGTAAAATCTTTCACTTTCTCTTCATAAAATTCAGTATTTCCCAGCAAGCTTTATTACTAAGATGTCTATGTTGCATGGTAGTGCAGTTTCCCATAACTTTTCTGTCCAACCATTCCACACAATTTTTTTCTAGTATTGACATGGTTGTTTACCTTCCCATGAGATATTAACTAAATCTGTGATAAAATATATAATAAAAGTTTTGAGACAGTTATACCTTTAGGCCCCCAGTAAAAGTGCCCCGGTCCAGAAAACATGTCCCGGGCAGCGGGATCTTCAGCAGAGACCCTAGAAGGGGGAATGGCAAATGAAAGTGACAAGAGACACAAAGAATTGACAGCAAGACAGTATTCTGATCAAGCTGCAACATTTTATTTTTCTCAGGTGGGTTTTATAGCAAGCAGACCAGGAAACTTTCTTTGGGAAAAGATCAGGGGACTGTTGAGTTCCCAAGCAACCCAACCACAAAACATTGTTACTAATGGTCACTGTAGCAGAAAGATAAGGAAATGTTAAGTTATTTTCTAATAACTCAGGACTTGTCCAGGTATGTCAAAAGTTTCTGGTTAGTGGCTCAATACTGGACAGCAGAAACTTAACTCAGGCAGGCAATATGGCATAGCTCTTACAATTGTCCTGAGCAGAAAAGGGCTGGAATTCAAACCAAATTCAAAACTGTGTCTTCTTGTGACTATTTCTCAGTATTAACCCAGTTGTGGTAGTTCACAACTGTAATTCCAGAATACGGGTATCTGAAGCAGGAAGACTGTGAATGTGATGCCCTTCTGAGTTACAGTATGAGGTAAAACTCGAAACAAACTAATATCTCCCAGAAGTACCCCCAAGTAATAATTATTGAGATTAGTCTTAAGAAAGTTTAAAACTATTATTCGCATTTACCAATTGGGTGCAATTTTACATGGTGTAAACATTAACCTCTCTAAATTCTTTGTGCACAGTTTCTTCTTTCCTGTGGATCATTGTCTAGAATTATTTCTCTAAGTCTCTTTGAACATCACAGGCAAGGTTGGGTACGGTGGTGCACAACTTTAATGCCAGCAATTAGGTGGCAAAGACATGTAGGTGGATCTCTGACCTCTTTGAGCTTGAGCTCAGTCTGGTATCCAGAGAAACTTCCATCCCACCAGACAGGACTCCATATTGAACACCTCTCAAGAAAAACATCCCAGTATATTTAGTAGGTGGGTTGTCACACACATGTGAACACATCACTGCAAAGATGGAAGCAAGAGGATCAGCTGTTAAATGAATTCATCCACTATGAAGTAAGTTTGAGTACAGCATTGGTTATATGAGACCTTGTCTCTAATATCCTCTCCTCCTTAGAAGAAATTCCAGGCTGTGACTCTTAGGGCTATAGATCAGTCACAATGCAAGCTCACTCAATATAAAAATGCTGTGGATCTCCTACCCTGTCAACATTTCCTGTATCTTTTCTAAATCCCTTTCACTGCTTTCTCATTTCATGTTCCCATTTCATTCTTCGCAACCTCTTTTCATCCTCCATCCATAGTTCCCATCTGTGCAACTGCTCTCTCAGAGCTTTCTCTACAACCTTCATTTTTGTTTCTTCTTCTTTTAGGACACAAAGAGCACCATAAAGAAGATTTGTGACTTCCTAGGAAAAAAATTAGAGCCAAATGAGCTGGATATGGTCCTCCAGTATAGTTCCTTCCAAGCCATGAAGGAAAATAAAATGTCCAATTTCAGTCTCATTACAAAAGATGCGGCTCATAATGGTTTGGATATCTTGAGAAAAGGTGAAGAAGTTTTTGAGCTTTAAATGATGTCAGGACGTGTGGAGGGCATATTGTTCCAGTGAGACTCTAGGAAAGAGTTGGGAATGGTTCAGAAGTCATTGCTCATACATGATAGTTTCTCACAGACCTTACAGAAGATTCATTCCATGGTGATGATGTGGGCTTCAGTAGCTATGAAAATTGATTTGTTCTGGGAGAGGATGTTGGGATTGCAGATGGTTGAGTCCAATAACCTCAATGGAAACAAAAGGGTAGATGTGTAGCAATGAGGCTTAGTAAGGCTCTCTGTATCATAGAAATCTAAAGAAAACACATAGCACATGGGACCAAAGATATATTTGCAATGATAATCACAGAAAACACTTCCATTCATGGCTGGAAAAGATGTTGAACATGCCAAGATTGCTGTCCCACACCAGGCTGAGTATAGACCCCATAAAGACTAAGCAAATGGTATTTATCATCCTACATTTGGATTGCTTCAGGCTCAGGGCTACTCAGTTTGTTCTGAATGCCTCTCCAGGAATGGGAATATCCATCTTCTCTATGTCTGTGCTACCTCTCTATGCTGGGAGCAGATTGTGGGTGTGGTTCCATAGCTGTAGAGATGAGGAGCCACTGTACCAAAAAGAGCCACACCTGGAATATCACCTTTTCCTATTAGCAGATAACTGGTGAGATGGGACTTGGCATTGAAGAAGGAATGAATCAGATGTCAGGCCTTTGGGGATAAGTAAAGAAAATGGATATAGACTCAGCAAAGGAGAATTATTGGTTATGGGTTTAATTTTCTTCTTCCAATAATTTGTATGCTTCAGCCTTACTCTCCAACCCTCCTCCACCCTAGATTGTAAGGATCAGGTGATAGAACATAAAGACATCAGGAATATATAGACAGAGAAGTAAGTTAAAGTGTATAGAAGATTGCATTTAATTCAAAACTCCTGGTGTCCTCACAAGTGGAAGTTTGGGCTCAGATTTGAGCACATATACATGTCACTTCAAGAATTTCATTGTCTATACACTATGGACTGAGAACTCTGGAGAATCCACTGATGTTGACAGATAACCTCAGACTGCTTTGCTCCAGACTCTATGGAGACAGAGTTGTCTGCACTAGAAGTGAAGGTCCCACATAAGAAGAGAATTGGCCCATTCTTGGATTTCCTATAATGAATCAGAATTTGGAGGTAAAACAGTATGGATACATAAAAAGCTTCAATGAAATGCCAAAAGGAATGAAATGTCTTGTTTAATAGGGAAAGGCTATGGAAACTAACAAGTAAAAGTTTGGTCAATAAAGCAGATGTAATAGAATAAGGACACAATTCCATGAAGATAACTGTCATTTCCTCTTTTCCATGTAGACACTTGGAGGATGAGACCACAGTGGGATTTTAATTTTCTCCGAAATAAAGTATTTTTCATGTATCATATATGGTGATTCTGTCATAAAACTTGATCTTTCACCATAAGTCCTTTGTAATTTATCATAGTGATTATATATGACATCAATTTCTTCCGCATTTAAAGATAACTTTTACTCTGGGGAATTATTTTTCTTTTACTCACACTTATTATAAACCATGAGTCCACTGTAAACCAGGTCATTGAACGAGGAGACCAACGTCATTACCTGCCCAGCCCTGATTCATGAATTCTTTATAGAGGATGCCAAGAGAGATATCTGGGAAAAACTTTTGAAACAATATGATTCGTGAGGATAATGTTGGTCTTTTAAATTCCTATATCATATTGGTTCTTTTTTTTTAAAATCGTGAAGGGAAGAGCAGATCAAAGATTAATTCTAAAATGAATTTAATTACTTACCAGTAGATACTTAATACCCTAAACCATAATGCATGAACAGCTTTGCTAACTGTTAGACTGGTCTTGAGCAGGAAGAATTCTCTAGACCTATTTTCACTGTCCTTTAGTTGCTCTTCTCAGGATCCAAGAAAAATACCTTATTTTATTTATTTTTTTTTACCTCTGGAAAACTCCTGTAAAGAGCTACTTTTTTACCTTGGAGACTCAATCATCTGGCTAGGTTAAATGAATCTGGTATTAAGCTTTAAGCAATAAGTATCTACAAACAATTTTAATCATTATGATTCCATATTTAGATACTGCAGGAAATACTGATCAGAGAGATGGTCATTCTCATGCATCCACTGTTTACTTGACAGAACTTTTATAAAGACATTTTCACAATGAAGACACGAGGAAGGAAAGGTCTTCTGACAAACTTCAAAGGTTTTGGACCTCAGTACTTCACAGTGCATGTTTCCTAAATAGAATGCTTGAGCCATGAATCATTTTCCCTGGTGTCCTTAGAAAGCATTAATCTGAGACAAAGAGGGAAGAAGACCTAGAGAGGAGCCCACTATAGACAGGCCAGTAAAAATCCAGGGAAGGTCTGCACAACAACTTTTTGTGAGACCTGCCTCCTCCAGGACTATGAGGAAATTCCTTTTCAACAAGACTTAAGCCACAAAATTTTGAGTTATCCTGTCCTCTGATACACCAGAGTTTGAGGAGATTTTTAGAAAGAACGAATGAAGAGAAATACATGCTTGTAAGGACCACAGAGTCTTGACAGAATTTGACTTACAACTTCATGTGTGTACCTGCAAAGATATGCTTCTCTCAACTGGACTGATTCAGCCCAATTGAATTTACTGAGACTCTGTTAGCTCAGCATCCAGTCTGGCTTATCAAGAGCCAGGTGTACTGTGGGAAACAATAGAGAAATTTGTTCTAATAATGAAAATATAAGAACGCTGAGAGTAGCAATTTATACTTACAAGTTACCTTCTTAAAAGAGACACTCTTATAGTCATATCAATTAATGGCATATTGTTTGAATATGGTGTATCGATAATTACAACTTAATTCTGAATATGTTATATTTTATTTAGTAATACCACTGGGAATTTAAAGTTAACTTATATGATACATAAGGAATACAATGTGATATGGAAAAACAGATTTCTAAAGTCATTCTTTTTGGCTTCAGGTCTACATGCATCACTATCATGCTGGGTTACAGCTCAAGGACTAGTTTTTTCTCATCAGCAAAATGGAAACAAGGCCTGTATTTTCCTCACTCATTAATGAATGCTTTCAAAAATTCCACACTGAGTATATTCTGTGTGTCTGATATGATTTGATGAATGAATCCTTTGCCGATGAAAGAAACATTTTGCTTTTTAAATATATTAGATACATATTTCAGGCATCTTTACAAAAATGAAATTCATCAATGTGTCACATTTATGAAATAAAATACAACAAGGATGTGGCCTGCAGAGTTCTACATGGAAGGAAAATTGGAAAAGGTGGTCACATGGGCATAAAATAGGAAACAAAGAAAAAAGTGAGTATATAGAAGACATCAGCAATCTAGAAAGAAGGAACACACAATTCAATGAAAGCAGTTACACAGTTTGCCATCTCTAATGTCAAACCTAAAGACATATACAGGAATGGAGTGATGAGAAACAAAGTCTGGTAAAAAGATATGGTAAATAAATCATGTAGGTCTTGATGCATCACCAGACACCATGCTGATTGAAAACAGAAATCTTGGGATGTTCTCAGTTGGCAGTTACGTGGGTCTCCTGCACCTGAAGAAAGCATCAAGATGGTTGGCACGTAGCTCACAACAGTCTGCATCTCTAGCTCAAGGGGATCTGATGCCTCAAAGCTCTGCAGAAAGCTGCATCATTTGGGCCTACACGCATATGATTAAACTTAATTTTAAAAGATCTTTTAAAATTTGCTTGCATATTTTGCAGAACTTTTACAAGTAACCACTAAAATTTAAAAAGAATAATTGAAACCGTTTTGGATAATTAAGATTAGAAACTCTGTTGGATTAGACAGTATGATGGAAGCAGGTGTAGTGGGAAGCAGAAAAACATCAATATCTAAAAGGTAGATATAGTGTGGAAGCTATTAGAGTGTGTAGCTGATATGATGAGATAGGAGAAGGGGGGGCATTATTGCGACAGAGGTAGAAGTCTGATGTATTATTTTTCAAGGTGTAAGATGTGTTCTCCAGGAAGTCACTGGTATTTCCCCTTTATTAACCATGTGGTCCATGTCAAATAGATGGTAAGAGCATGTGAAGGAGGGACTGAGAGCAGTGTTGAGATCATTATTAACCCATCTATGTGTCTGCTTCACATTTTCTAGGCATGACTGGGGACTGGAAGAATCACTTTACAGTAGCCCAAGCTGAAGCCTTTGATAAAGTATTCCAGGAGAAAATGGCTGGTTTCCCTCCAGGGCTGTTTCCATGGGAATAAATACTTAAAACTGAATATATATATATATATATATATATATATATATATATATATATATA